TGTGGGTATGTCTCCGCGTTTTGTGTTACGCTAAATCAGAGATTGCTACTCTTAAGCACAGTTCAGACAAGCTCCATCTATGGTTAAGATCCCAACTCAGGATCCACCTGGAAGTTAACTCTAGTTTGTCACAAACTCTGGTTTAAGCCAAACACAGTGCTAGCCTGGAAATCTTGGTTTTGATGTGTGGGTATGTCTCCGTGTTTTGTGTTATGCTAAATCAGAGATTGCTACTCTTAAGCACAGTTCAGACAAGCTTCAATTGTCGCTAAGGTCCCAACTCAGGATCCACCTGGAAATTAACTCTAGTTTGTCACAAACTCTGGTTTAAGCCAAACACGGTGCTAGCCTGGAAATCTTGGTTTTGATGTGTGGGTATGTCTCCGTGTTTTGTGTTATGCTAAATCAGAGATTGCTACTCTTAAGCACAGTTCAGACAAGCTTCAATTGTCGCTAAGGTCCCAACTCAGGATCCACCTGGAAATTAACTCTAGTTTGTCACAAACTCTGGTTTAAGCCAAACAGGATGCTAGCCTGGAAATCTACGGTTTTTTGTCTGTGGGTATATGTCTAGGTTTTGAGTAACGCTAAACCAAAGCTTGCTACTCTAACCGCAATTCAGACAAGGTCCAACTGTGGTTAGGCTCCTCATTCAGGATTCGTATCAAAGTTAATTCTAGTTTGTGTCAAGCTCTGGTTAAGCCAAGCCTGGGAAATCTTCCTTTTTTTGGAGTGTGAGTATGTAGCCCCCGTTTTATGTGACTCGAAACCAGAGGTTTCTACTCTAACCGCAATTCAGACCATTCCGCTTAGCTCATTCAGAATCCACTTGCAAGGTAAACCGTGGTTTGTCACAAACTCTGGTTAAGCCAAGTTGGCTTGAGATTGCTGCACATATCAAACCGAGATGACTCTTCTGCGCCAACTAAGGAGAAACTGACATCAACCTCTTGACTCCAGGGAAAGCACAAACTCCAGGCCTTTCTGGGAAGCTCTCAATGATGGCTTAGCGTTACACGTGTAAACTGGGCACCCGTATCAGTATTAAAAATCCTAATTTTTTTCAGGTGGGGTATTGTGTAAGCTTCCACGTTGCCGCCTTTTGCATTCGATGTCTGCGTCAGGCCCGGAAGGAGGGGGGGCAAAAATGCTACCTCGGTTTATTTCAAGCCAGCAATGCTGGTTTGTTCTCCCGGATGCCGGAGAGGGCTGCCTGAAATCTCTCCAGCCGACCCGGCTGGAATTTGCGAAGAAGCTTGCTTGCGTCTTGTAAAAAAAAAAAAAGGGCCCCAGCCCGACTTCCTGGGCGGGTGAGGGAAGGCGTATGGTTTGTGTAGTCCTCGCAGTTTGGCTCGGAGCGTTTGCACGGACGAGGGAAAAATAATGTGCTTTTAATGTCTTGTAAATAGTCTTCGGAGATGGGGGGGGGGAATTGGAAAGGATGGGAACGGTCCGAAAAGATGATTTCTTTTGTGCAAATAAATTGCCCCTGGTTTCAAAGCTGGCTGGTGTGTTGTTGTTTTTTTTATTCCCTTCCCTATTCTGTTTTGTCGTTCTGTTCCGTTCCGTTCTTCCATTTCATATTTTCTCTTCTCTTCTGCATTCTCTTCTATTCTGCATTCTGTTCTATTTTTTATATTCTATATTCTCTTCTATTCTGCGTTCTGTTCTATTTTTTATATTCTATATTTTATTCTATTCTGCGTTCTGTTCTATTTTTTATATTCTATATTCTATTCTATTCTGCGTTCTGTTCTATTTTTTACATTCTATATTCTCTTCTATTCTGCGTTCTGTTCTATTTTTTATATTCTATATTTTCTATTCTATTCTGCGTTCTGTTCTATTTTTTA